GGGTTGTTTTTACAACCCTAGGTACGGTACGCAGACTGGAAATTAAAAGCTGGGACTGGCTCTTGAAAAAAAAACAAAGAGAAACCAGCATTAATCTCCCCAAAAGGGAAAACACAGAGCCGAGATCACATTGCTCTTGTGCTTGCAGCAAAACAACTGAAAAACAGGTCACAAAGGTGTTTTAAAAATTTATGTCTATATATACGTATATTTTTGATTGCATCACCAAAGGCAAAACTACAATTTGGGCTTGAGGAACCCTTCCAGCAACCCACGGGGACTCAACTGTTCCCTGGGAAATGGGTCCCTGGGTGAAGAGCGGGATCGCCAGCCCCGATGCATCTATTAAGCTTTCTGCTGCGGTTCGCATTTGCTTAAAGACGCTAGTCAATTATAAATACACTTAAAAGTTTATTACTCAAGGGAGGCTACCTATAAAAGGGTTATAAAAAAATAGGTAAGAAACAGAAAATATAACCCTCTTGTCCTCTGCGTGGAAGTAATTAGGAACCTGGAGTTTGCCTCGCAAAACACGCGCTGAGCTGCTCGTGCAAAGCGCCAGCCACGTTTCGATGCCGAAATGAGGGCCCGTATGGGCACGGTTTTCTATCCCATTCCGTGGGGAGCTGGCAGCTGAAGGGGGGAGCCACACGCCGGTTATTTCCCCAAGATAATTTGAAAAATGCTGATCTCGATTTTAATCAGCTGCAAATGCAGCACAATTCACTTATAATATCCCTGCCAGCAGGATCCTCAGTAAATTCATAACATCATTGCTTTTATATGATCACGAGCAAATTACTGAATCCTCAGGAGGAAAAAGAGAGGAGAAAAAAGAGAGAGAGAGAGAGAGAGAGAATGAGACAAACCCCAGCGTTTAGTGCGCACTGTTATGGCCCAACCGTTACATATTTTACACTGTTAATTTAACTTTCATTACACTTTTATTGGTAAAAAAATAAACCAGAGCCTTATTGTGCAAAACAGCTGGCCTGGACTTCTTTACTTTTTTTTTTTTTTTTTAGTAGTAGCGTTTAACGGAAGCACTAAGAGTGCTTGATCAATTAGGCAACCCTGAATGTCTCCGTTTTGTGTCACATTGGCGGCAAATGACTCCAAGGATGAGCAGCAAAACAACAGGGACTAAATGACCTTCTCCTTGGAGGCAAAGTGCGCATCCCGCACATGCTCCAGGTGCCTTTCTGTGTGCGGATGGAGTAATGGAATTGGAGCTAAGCTTCCTTACTGGGAACCTGCAGAGACCTGTGCTGGCACCCACCTTGTCACAGGAGGCTAATAGTGAACTTTCCAAGGGATAGGGTAGCTTGGCAATGACGGAATCATGCATCATGTTGTGTTTTTTGCCCCATCTTTGCTCATTTTGCAAATAACGGAGGACTGGGCCTTGCTGCTTTGCTCTGCATTCCCTCCACAGCGCTTACGGTTTGGACCTCCTTTCTACACAGCTGCACTGCGATATCACAGCCATGCAAGGGCCCCTTTCTGCTTTGCATGGAAAAACAACCTCTTCGCAAAGAAATTCCACCTGGGAGAGCTGCTTGGTACCTCCCTGATCCATCCCCGGCCAGAAATGCAGCAGCCAGGAGGATGCTGGTGGCCTCAAGGGTGCTCGCGGCCCCAAGGATGCTGGTGGCCCTGAAGATGCTCGCGGCCCTGAGGCGAACAGGGCAAGCATGGGTGAGAAAACCCAGTAACGCTCCCGAAGGCGCCTTCGCTTTGCTGGCTAATGGAGCAGCATTGCAGCTTTCTCTTGCCCTCACAAGCCGAGCACCAGCAATTTAGGACTATGGAGTCAGAAAAGGTTTTTTTTTTTTTTTTCCCCTGCAGATTCTCAAGTAGGTTGCTTAATTTTTAATAAACTCCGCTAACTCCCGCTAATTATCGCACAGCTCATTTAACGCGGAGGCTTTGCTTCCTGTAGACCGAAGACTGAGAACAGAGCAGATGGCTCAAATATCATCGGTTTCTTAAATGTCCTTTCTACCCGCTCTTGCCTGGATGTCCCCGCAGGCCCCAGGGTGTTCGATTGCACCCCCTGGTTCCTGCACCCGCTCTGGAGGGGGAAGATAAAACAGCTAATTAACCCGCCTGCGCCAAGGCCAATTTGGGTACCCAGAGGTGCGAGGTATTCACCTTTGCTGTTTTGCAAGGGCAAAATTTGCCTTGGAAAAAAAGAAGCTAAAATGGGGAAAAACAACATGCTTTTGGGCACAGCCTGCCTCAACAGAGCGGTTTGGCTCTAAGCACCAGCTCTGCTCTGTTCCAGCACATCTGGAGCTCCTGGAGGCAGCTGAGAAGTTTTTCCTGCTTGCTTTTCCTCCCTCTTCCGCCTGCACTTGCTGGATTAGCTAGTCAACTGGGACTATTCTAGATGGGATTATTCTGGATTAACAAAAAACTGCATCCAGGAGACCCTGCCCTCCAGGAAAGGCTTCATCACCCTCTAAATGCACTTGGGACGGAGACTGAGACCTTGAGACGTGCCAGGCACAGAGCTGGCCACTCTCCAACACACAAGACCTCAGGGCTGAGGATTTCACAGCATCTGAAACCTCTTGAAGTGAAATTAGGATTTAAATCTCTGCTCCTGGCAAGACTAATCATCCTGGCTGTACTGTAAAACTTCAGCCAGAGGCAGCAGGAAGGGTTTTTGCAGTTTTCTGCTTTGATTACACTACGAAACGCATCCTATTCTACATCTCCAGGTCCTGTTTTCCATTTCTGCCCCACTCCAGGGAGTTACAGGAACCGCCAGCACCCCTGTTGCTGCCCTGCAAAAGCTGCAGCAATTTGCACCCTTCATTTACAACATTGCTGACTTTCCTTTTTTTTTTTTTTTTTGCATGAATTATATAAAGCCCAGCCAGACTTGTGCTCACGCTTCCTATCAGGAAAGCAAAGCAAAACACTTTGTCACCTTCCCCCCTCCCTGCAATTTCCCCATCGGATTTCAACAGTGCAACAACCCCGCGGGTGCCAGGGTGAGGAACGGGCCTTGCATCCAGACTTACTTCATCAGCTCGGGGTCTTCTTTATCATCTTTCGTCGGGGTTATCTTGATTCCACTTTTCTTGGCACGAGGGCAGCCTGACAGACTGTGGTTAAAAAGAGAAGAAAGGGCTGTCGTGCTGGCAGAACTACCGTGTTTTATATATTCCCCCGCTCCAGTCATCTTTCCCTTGAATTTAGCGCAGTGTTTTGATCTCACTGGTTTTTGCGCCTTCACATCACGAGCAGAAGTCAGAGGAAAAAAATATTTGAGGGAGATGGACAGTAATTAATGGTGTCTAGATAAGAAGATATCTGCTAACAGCCCGCGATGTTTAATGGATTTGTTGAAACAGAAGGCTTAGATCTCCTCTATTAATGTTCTAAAGTGATAATAGAAGTCATAAATAGGTAGCATTATTAACAGGAACATTGCATCAGCGAAAATCTGACCCTTTGTCTTTTATTCTACTGAAGGGAGAGTCTAATCAGATGCTGGAAACATCAAAAAAAAAAAAGTCAGATTAAAGAGATGAAAATAGGCTTCAGTTGTCAGTAACATTAATGTTTTATTCAGAACTTTACAACTCTGCCCACTGCAGAGGAAAAAAATACAGAGACTATGGAAGAAAAAATAATTTGAAGGCAGATCTTACCTTCTATGTGATGCATAATTTCCTGTTATGTGACCTGAACCATCACAACCAGGAGTAGGGCACCTGCAAAGAAAGGGAGGCTCTGATTAGCCTGGGGAAGAAGCACCGGGATAGCTCATTGCAAAGGAAAATCTAGGGACATTCAACGTGAAAGCTTCTTTTGTATCGTCTCCTCTCCCTCACCACCACAATCCGGGAGAATAACACCTGGATCACAATGTCCCCAGCCCAGAGGTGTCCGTGCTGTGGGATCCGACTTTGGGATGACATGGGGTGTCCCAGAGCATGACGCCCTAGGATCCAACAGCATCCGAGCGCTGAGGCTCCGAGCTCACTGCATCCCCATGGCTCACAGGGTGCAAAGAAAGAGGCCAGTAGAAGACCTCCCAAATAGTGTGGGTCTTCCAGCAGTTGCCATCCAGATGGACGTGAGTGTGGACAAGAAACCAGAAAAATACCCTGCATCCTTGGAGAACACATCCATGCATCCTTCTCCTGCTGGGATCACCTTGGCCCAAGGCCAAGGGAAGGTCATCAGAAGGTCTTAGCTCAGTTCTGTCTACAGTTTCTGGTGGTTAACTCATTGAGGACAGACAGGCACCCTACCCCAGCTGTTTTGGGTCCTCAAAGCCCAAATCCAGCCACCTCCTCTGCCAGCCGCTGATGAGGAAGGAAAGAGAGCAAAAAGGGGTCAAAATAAAAGGTGTTGGATGGGGACAATGAGTCGGTCTCCAGGCAGCGTGGAAGGATCTCAGGAAGGATCCCAAAAAACCACTGAGTACTGCTCAAAAATACTCTGGGAAATGCAAAGCAAGCAGGTAAGTGAAGTAGGCGACACAGACGTGGCTATTGCAGCAGTGCCAGGAGGATGCACGGAGCCATGACAGGCAGCTTAGAGCAGGTACAGAAGTGCTCCGAGCACAGCAAGTGCCTGTGAACGCAAAGAAACCGCTGCGTCTTTTTAGCAATTGCTCCTGTTTGAGGAGTCGGAAAGGTCAGAACATGCAAAGCTCTCCGCTCGCGCAGGCTGGCTCCCTACAAGGAGCAGAGAAGCCACTTGCCACAAGTCACAGAGCGGGTCGGCGCAGAGCAGGTCCCTTTGTCCCGGCTGCTTGTGCCGTGACCCCTCCCGGGGCAAAAAGGACCTTGGCCAAGCCGCGTTTCAGTTAATCTCAGTGTGCTGAGGTCTCCAATACTGTGGATAAGAGACTTGCATGTTTCTCCGGGGGGAGAAAACCACTTCCCGAGGCCCTAGGCTGGAAGTCACCAAGTCCTTTCACATGATGTACCGGGAGTTTTTTGTGTTTTGGGGAAAAATCTCCCCCTCCTTGCTCAGGCTCTGCCCGTGACAAAGGAATCTTTGAAGCTGTGGCTGTGACCATGGGTTTGAAGGCAAGACATGAATGAAATTGGAATGGAGAAGAACAGTCCTGTGATCACACAAAACAGCACAAAAGGCAGCGCAGCGCCCAGCATCGTCCAGGAAGGAGAGAGATAACGGGGCGAGTTAAGTGCCGCATCATTAAGGCCATGCAAGAAAGGTGATGGAATATGAAGTACAACAAGCACAAATGTGCTCCAAAGACTGCAGGTGATTCGCAGGCATAAAAGTTGTCATGGGGACAAGGAAGAGAGACAAATAGTCCTGGCTAAGGGTGTTCTTTCAGCACCGCAGCATCTTTGGCCGAGATGATAGCACAGTAGTCTGTGCAAACCAGTGTTTCCAGCAGCAAAACGCAGCTGGCGCTGGGTTGCTAGTAGAGGGACTCTGGTCATTTGTCAGGATTGATCAGGAAAGTTCCTGCCAAAAGAGAGGGAAAAGACCAAGATTCCACTCCAGGACAGTGGTGCCAGAGGGAAACTGGCTGGAGAGATGGGAGGGAGTCCATAAATCAGAAAAGCAAGCACATCTGGGACTGAGGCACCCCAAACTCTTTGGAGGATTGTTTTCCATCAAGCTTTCATTAAGTTTTGAGAAGTAAGGAAGATAGGAGATAAACAGATGAGATTTTTGCAATTTTGTCTTTCTTTCTCTTTTCTACTAGATAAAGTAAATAGTAAACGTCTTTTTTTCGGGTGATGCTCCAACACCTGTGAACCTAAGCAATCATGAGAACTGCTCAGGAATGATCGCACATTCCTGTGAGATGGGAGCTCTAAATCTGGACTTCTTGCAGCACAGGAGCTTTGGGAAGGGATGCAGGGAGCACCAGGAGACAAGGAAAAAGCTCACAGGATGGGACAACAGGGACATGGGCTGATGCCAAAAGGATGCCTAGGAGACTCAGTGAGGAATAACGCTCTGATCCAGGGAAACAGGCACACAGAGTGAGCAGTGTGAGAGAAAAACTGAAAAACAGTGATGTGATGGGCTATGGCCATCCAGGAGGATGCTTAGATGGTGAAACTCTCTGTATCACTTAAACCTGTATTTTCTAGATGGTGAAACTCTCTGTATCACTTAGAAAATACAGGTTTAAGAGACTACTGCCTGTTTGTGACATTTGGCTGTTACACACTGTTAAATTTGAAAGCAAAACTATTGCTTTGTTGTTCTAGCTTGGGGGGTGGAATGAAACTATGAAAACACTAACGTCTAATTCCTTTTGCCTTTCAGTACTTTTTAAAAGGTGGAAGAAGTGATTTGGTTTTTATTTTTAATTATCTGGAGACAAATCATTCTGACAGAGGCCTTTTATTGGATGTTCCAGCCCGGAGCTATTTTTTTTATATCAGAGATATTAACCCTTGAAATAGAATTTATAATAGAAGTGCTGATGTAGCCTTCTCTGATCTTGTGGCAAAGATATGACTATGGTATCTGCAAGATCTCTGAATCCTATTCCCTTCCTTCCTTTCGATGTCCCCATCCTTACCAGGATATAAAGACAAAACAATATTTGGAAAATAGCGTTACAAAGTTTTGTTTTGCCTGTTATTCTGGTATTTTTATATGATTTTGATAGGTACTGTTAACAGCAGCTATCTGAAGGGTTCAGGGAAAACACGACAGGTTTGGATGCCCTGAATAGCAAATGGTCCGAGCGACTCGGCCCCAGAAATGACTCTGTTTCCTCTTCTGGCCCATGCTGGAAATGGGCACTGGGTCTGACAGCTTTTAATATCTTTAAAACTAATTGTACGATTACTTGGCCATTCTTCAGGCTGCTGGAGAAACACCAGTTCAGCAAAGCACTCTTAAGAGGTGCTTTTAAATTGTATATTGGCTATAATGCGCATTAAGCACACTTAGCACTAATCATGCATGTCCTTTCTGCCCACTGGAATATGTTATTAGTATGGGGTAATCCTGCTTCCTTCGGCACCTCCACGAGACCGAGCAGCCTTCTTGGCACCACTGGCAGCGGTTTGGAGGACAGAGCAGCGTGGGCTCCATCCCAACATTATAGTTTATCCTGAGCACAGCTCCAATCATCACCCATTGCACCCCTATTTCCTAGAAATATTTCTCCCATGCAGAAGCAACTGGTTGTGCTTGAGCTCGTGCCTCAGCCTCATTGCTCCCACCAAGACAAGTGCAAAGGTTCAATATTCGCCCTTGAAGGAGGAGGATTTCCTATAAGATGCAGGAGTGAAAGCGAGCTCAGAGGACAAACATCAGCTCCTGGAGAAACATCTCCAAAACCCACTTTTTTCCTGCATGCAGGGCCTTGATTGCCCTCACGAAGATCTTCGGGAGACGTGCGCTGGAGTCTGAGCTTCACCACGGACACACTCTGGCAAATCCCTTCGTCTTCCTCTCCTCCCCTCTTCCTTTCCTCTCCTTAGGACACGCAGCGCTTTACGATAAGCCTTGGCGATGCAAAGCCTCCCTGCGAGGTTCTCCTCTCAGCAGAGGCCTCTTCAATTGTATGTATGAGCATGAATAACTTAGTGGCCAAATAATCCCCAAATTGGATTCAGCAAAGCAGGAAGCTAAGAAGAGATTCAGCCACGAAAGACAGGCTGATTCCAGGGAAGAGATGCTGCAGACATTCACAACCAGCTCTCCCCCAAAGACCTGCCTCGAGTTATAGCGGAGAAGCAGCCCCATTAATTGCCTCTCCCTATTTTAAAATGCAATTTCTTCCCAGCCTTTCTTAGGGACAGCTATATGAGAGAGCAATGGGGAAATTCTCTTAGGAGGAATAAGTTCCCTCCTGCAAACAGGGTGGCTTTGGGAAGAGGTCAAAGCTGAAAGCAGGATCCGGAGCAGCAGATTTGAAGGACAGTTTGGAGATCGGATCCCCCACTCGGTGCCGGCTCCTGCACTTGGCCTCTTTGCAGCTGCCGAGGATCCAGCCTCACGACTCTCTTGCTCTTTCTCTCCCTTTCATTTCCTCGCAAATCAAACGCCCATTGAAATGAATAGAAACCTCTGTCACAGGATCCTGAACGGCCCCTAAAATTCAGCATATAATTAGCATACCAGGTTCTCCAAAAGAGTTGGCTCCTTTCCGCTATGTCCTGGTGCTATTTTCCCAGCTGTGTCTCTATGCGAAAAGAAAAACACGTGCCTTGCTCTGGGTTTTGTGCTCTTTGATGGCTACACAAAACCAACAAAAACGCTGAATGAAAAGGGTTGTGTCGCAAACTAGGTAGCAAGAGCTCAGGGAAAGACTCCAAATACAAAAGAAAATAGCATATTTCTGGTGCCCAAGGAAAGCCTGCCAGGGGTTGAGGTCCCTTTGACCATTTCTGCAAGCCCTGTCCCCAAAACGAGCCATTCATCATTGCATGTGAGCCATCATCTCACCCAACACGGCAGAGAGGGGTTCAGGGCAAGCAAATTTTATTTGGATTTTTGAGCAGAGAAGGGAAGGGATGGAAAAGCCAAAGCAGAGCATGAGGAGAAGGGGCAGGGGGAGGGGAAGAGAGAAAAAAAAAGGAGGGAGAAAAGAAAAAAAGGAATTCCAAGTTGAGTGCAAACATACTTGAGGTCAGCAGAGTGGGCAGCCATGAGGTTTCTGAGGCTCTTGTCAGCAAGAGGACAACCAGAAAGGCTGAAAGAGAAGAGATGGAATATCTGGATAAGCAAAAAAAAAAGAAAAAAAAAATAGGGTGGGGGGAAGGAGAAAGAAAAGGGGCCAGGGCATGGGGAAGGGGAACAGAAGTGAGGAGGAAATGGAACCAAACCATCCACATGGTCAAAAAACACTATAAAAAGAACATCTTTTGAGTCCAAAATGAGAAGGAATGGTCAACCCACCTGCGGTGAGAGGCATAGTTTCCCGTGATGTGTCCGCTGCCGTCACAGCCTGGCGTAGGGCAACTGAGCAAGGACAACAACAACAAGGGTAAATAAATGCTGGAAAAAAAGGAATTCCCCCAAGTCTGAAGTCTGTGCAAAACCTGGAGACTGCCTGAGACCAGCTTCCAGCCCACCTCCACCTCTGTATGCTTGCATCCCATTTAAATTCCCTTTTTCCTCCCCTCTCTCTTTTTTTTTTTTTTTTTTTTTTTTGCAATATTAAAGCTCTGGCTGCCGGAATCGGGTTATTCCCTGAAAGCCTCAGTTTTTAGCTTTCTGAAAAGATTTTTTTCAGCCCTCATAGCTGCAAAGAAAAGATTGAAAGTGCTATTCACTCCAACAGGAAATAAAAGGAACCTCTGGCTCCAGTGCCTGAGGGCTCCCAAATTGAGGACACACAAAGCCGACCACATCCCTGACTGATGGCACAATCCGGCTGCCTTTCCTCCCCATCCCTCTCCCCTGACTTCCTAATGAATTGCATTGGAATGGGAAGAGGCATCGGAGCTCCATGGTGTGCAGGGATGACATTTTCTGATGCCCCATGAAACAGCATGTTCTGCACCCCTTGCTGTTGCTGCCTCTGGTTGATCCTCTGTATCAGGCTACAAGGGGCACATGCAAAGGTTGCTCACAGCAAGGAAAATGACCTCAAGTCCCTTTCAAGATCCACAAAAAAGCAGCAAACCCTGCAACTAGATGATGGAGGTGAGAAACACCTTCACTGGTGTTGTCTTTGGTACCCAGAAAAGACCCACAGGCTACACTTGGACATGCAAAATCAATCACTCGGAGCATATGGAAAGATACAGCCTCTCTTGAGTTGACTTCAGCTAATTCACTGTGGTCATTGGGTGAGATAGGAGCAAGGATGCTGTATGAGAAAAGGGTAAGGATGCTGAAAGGGGAAAGAAAGCTAAGGGCTGCCCGCAACACCATTTATTCCTAGAGACTTTTCCACATAGGAAATTTTTCTGCCTTCATAATACACTTAAGAGCACAAAAAAATTCAGAGCTCTACCTCAGAAATTGCTATTCACATCACTGATGGATTAATAAAAAAAGAAAAGAAAAGCCTTTAGAGCTTTGTATAGGACAGTTAATATGCATCTTGCTCACTTAGGGAAGATGCTGTTCCTGCTCTTCTTTGCCCCCATGGATCTCTCCCCTGGCTATCCACACAGCTCCCTCATTCTCCTGCTTGTGTAGCCAAAAAAATGCCAAGTAGTTTAAAGTCAAGGAAAGAAACCCAATTCTTTGTTATTTAACACTCAGAAAGGTAAGATGTACAGGAAAAAGGCCTGAACATTCTCCTGCTTGTGTAGCCAAAAAAAGTGCCAAGTAGTTTAAAGTCAAGGAAATGAAACCCAATTCTTTGTTATTTAATACCCAGAAAGGTAAGATGTACGGGAAAAAGGCCTGAGTACAACAGATAGGAAAGCAGACCTCCTACCTCTATACGTGGGAATGAATTTTGCCTTCACGATCAGAAGTTGTTGAAGGATGAAGTTTCTCTTTAAGCTTTCATCTGAAGTGCTCAGATGGAATAAGACCATCACAGTAAGAAGCATGACTAAACTAACTTTTAAAATGTATTTATTTTTCTAACAAACTCTATCTTCTACCTGCCTGGCTTGTCATGAGGATTTTATGCATTTTGGAGGAAGAGACAAGAAGGCAGCACTTACGTGAGCAGCTCTTTCTTGATGTCCTTGGAGAGGAATTTAAGTTTGAAGTTGGTTAAGGTAACTTCCCCTGGGTATTTTCGTTCTTCAAAGTTTTCCTCTGACACTTCTTGCTCATCAGCTTCCGAGGAGGCAAAAGAATGGGCTGCAGGCTCTGACTGCAAGAAAACAGCCAGAAAAAAAGTGGTTGCAGTGGTGCTTGTTGCTGCTGCAATTTCTTCTGTTTAGAGATGTGAAACATCCGTGCAGGGACCTGGATTTTGACCTGGTCTTCCAAAGGTCTTGCAGGGATAGGATTATCCCATCTTCAAGGACTAGTGTTAATAGCACAAGGGACCATATTAGCTAATGGCAGATACATCTTCCTGGGGAACCACATCAGAAGAACCACTAATACAAAGGATATATAGTGAAAGAAGTAATGCAGACCCAGAATTATGGGAGTGGGGGATTTTTCCCTGGCAGGGGCATCCCGGTGAGGCTAAGAGTGCCCACTGACCAAGACAGGCTGTGTTTGGATGGCTCTCATCCTGGCTGGTTGTGTGCAGCTGAGGTCTGCTAGCACTAAGTTGAAGCTAACAGTACCTCAAGGCTCAAAGGGTAAAGCAGGGTGTTCGGGTAAAACAAGACAACTGTGCAAGCAAGCACAGCATCAGTACTCACGAAGCATCTATTAAACATCTATATTCACTCTCAAACGTCACCACTCACCTCTTCTGGCTCCTCTTCCCGCTGGCGATTTGGTTTAGTGTAGTCGATGGGTCCATCCCATTCATCCTGGCGGGAGGTCTGGCTGGACTGGGGGGAGGTCATGGTGCTGCTCGTGGCACTGGTGCTGTTTTGGCGCTGCGACACGTCTGGGGACTTCATGCTGGGACTACTGCTGCAGCTGCTGCTGCTGGGGAAGGCGCTCTCCCGCTTGCGGTGCTTGTTCATACTCAAGTCCAAAGTCCCATTTTCATCCACCTCAATGTCCATGGACTGCAAGTTGGGAAACAGGCCCAAAGTTAGCTGCTGCTAGTGATTCCCTAAAGGGATTTTGCCCCCATCTGTCTTCTGTGGTGCAGGGGACAGTCCATTCATGTCCCTTCCTCTCTGCAGTCAATTAGAGGCAACTAAATGGTAAGAGATGCTCCTTCATAAACATTTTCAGAGACATGTCATGCAAATGTATGTCTCTGTTAAAAGCACCCCAGGGTTTTGACTCAATTGACTGCACACAGGCACCTCAGAACATTTATGATGCCCCAGGGCATCCAAGACTTCTGCACAAGGCTGGGGGTGCAGCACAGGAGCTCTGCAAAACTGGCGCTCTGCTGAAAAATTGCTGAAGGTCAACCTGGACACGAGGCAGTCTCATCGGATACCTCCCCGTGAGCAACTGCACCCAGCCCTGAGGATGAGCTCGGAAACTGTGCCTGTCTCAGATGGGTAATTTGAGCCCTGATGTGTCTCCATAACACACTCACAGCCAAGAGAACCTTCCTCAAGCAGCACCACCCCAGGCCTCTCTCGAGCGAAAGGCTTCACTCCCTGCTCCTCACTCTGAAAAGTCTCCACATTTCCTCTCTATTTGCAAGATCAGAATGAGAGGCATGAAAAAAAACTGGTTGCATCCAAAACTGCAAGTCTTAACCTGCTACTTTCTACACCAAAATGACCCATTGGCTCTGACACCAATGCAAACAGCCCTGTCCCAACTGCCTTCTATCTGTCTTGGCCTCAGCGGCAGGTCCC